AAGGAAGAACGTGCTCGATAGTGCGAGAAATAAATGCGTGCATGTTTTTTTACGTGTATATTGGCGCGCACAGTTTTCGTACGTGCGTATACGAATGTGTTTCGTGTGCACAGCCCATAAGAGTCTATTAAACGAGGCATAAAACATTGTATAAGCAATATTTTTTAAGTGCATCAAACTGTGTGAACGGAAGGTGAGGAGGAAGGGCGGGGGTATGAAGGGAACGAACGGTTGGTTCGAAGTGGTGGGGAGAAAAAAACTTCGTGGGCGAGCCCCCACATTTTAAACCCACGTGTAGGCAGAGAACGTACATACATTATACATACACACATTATACAAATATACAAATAATTATATATAAGCATAATGCTCGCGTATGTACAAAAAAAATTTATATATAGCGTTGATAGATGGAGAGAGAGTGAGTTTATATATATATATATATATATTTATATATATATATAAATATGTATACATAATTATATTTTAATACGATCAAGTTGTAAGAAACGAAGCGTCTAAAAACTCGCCCGGTGCCTTTAGAGATCCGCTCGTGCCTTATATCTTTATTAATACGAGGAAGAATCAAGGACCAAATGTCTCGCGTCCTTAGAACGAGCCACGTATATTTTTACGTCCTCTCCGCGGCGAGAAAAAAAACGCTGCTCTTGGCAAGGATACATTCTGCGTAAGAGAACACCGGTGACTCGTCCAACCGTGTAATAATATCAGTATTGAGATTTATTCGTTTATTTATTGGTCGCCATTTCAATAATTTTCTTTCCCTTTCTCGTTTTTCTATCGAATAAATCAGATCGGATCGAGAACGAACTATATTTTTTTTTTTTTCTTTTTTCCCATGTATTTTCTATTCATCTACATTTTCGATCATTCTAATTAGATTTTAACATTTAATGCGTGTTAATTCATAAATTATACGAATGATATATGAGAAATTGTATTAATCGAACATAAACTCGTTCTGAGGGTTGATTGAGACCAAGAACAAACAAATTCGAATTTCCTCGTCGATAGAGGCAGTTCAAAGTGTGATAATCGAAGAATCGCTGATACCTCGCCTCTAAGGTTTATCTGTGTCTTTTTTTTTTTTTTCTCTTTGTGCGGTCGAGATTCTTCGGCGAGTGGTGAACGGTAGCAAGAGCAACAATATTCGATATATCACGCAATCCACGTGTTTTTCAGTTCATCGATAAAATTCGCCCAATTACAAAGCATATCCGTTATATTGTGATTCATCGAATACCAAGAGATTGAGAGGGAGAGAGACTGAATTATTCAGAGAGAAAGGGATAGAATGATCGAGAAACAATCTTAATGTACGGAGAAAATAGATATCATCAACGTTTTTTTTTGTACGTTCGAAAAATAAAAAAAAAACAAAAATTATTGTATTAAATATTGTATTATATACACACGCGTAGATTATGAGAATTTGAGAGAAAATATAAGAGACTATTTTAAAAGAAATCTGTTTATTATTTTTCATTCTGTCATATACACATATTAATATGGCATTTCTTTTTTTAATCTTGCCTGCACTATATTTATTTTCTTTATCGAAGATTTGCTTTTTTACTAGACATATCACAATATCTAATATATCTAAGAACGACTACATTTTTTTTTATATTCTTAATAAAAAAAAGGCTGTTTTTATCAAAACATATTATTGAAATAAATCATTTAAAAAATAATCGTTTAAGTTATATATTATTTGAAATAATTACATGTCAATTTATTTAAATAGGTTAATGATTTTTAAATATTTTTAAAATATTCTAATTTTATTATATTATTTGTTGTAGTTTGATATATTTGTGGAAAGAATCGTTTTTATTGAAATGAGAATAATTTTGAGATTTAATATAGTGTTATGTTGTAAAAATTCTTAGATTTAAAATTTAATAATTATATAATTAAAATTCATTAAAATAAAAGATAATTTCATGATATATCAAACATCTAATTTATTTGTTATTTTGAAAAAGTTAAATTGAATAAAAAATTATTTAATTTGATTTTTAATACTTAATTTATACTTCATATAAAATAAAGATATACAAATAATTATATAATATATAATTATAATATATATATAATTAATAATATATAATATAATATAAAATAATTAATTATTTTTTTTTGTTATTGAAAATATATTTACATTTCATGTATTTTTTTCTGTCATTTTAGATAGCTGCAATCATACGAGATTATTCGATTGTGAAAACGTATTTGATTATATGCATTTCTCGGAGGCGCTTACATGCGTGGCAGACTGTGCGTCTCGAGATAACCGAGAGACTGATAATTTAAGAAAAGTTGACACAGTTGAACAAAGACAACCACTGATTTACAAGTTGACTTCAGAAGAACGATGCCGTCTTTGATCTCAATCTTGTTCCATCCCATTAAAATTTATTGCACGATCTAACGACAAAGAAAATATAATTACAAAATACAAATGAGGAAATAAGAGACATGTCATATAATTATCATTTTTATATTTCGTCAATATATAAATTTCTTGGTATTTTTATATCACTTTTTTTTTTCTTATAATAATAATAGAGATAAAATTTTAATATTTCAAGAAATATTTAATAATTTATATTGTTCATGTACACTTTTATAAAGATTCATGATTGTTATAAATGAAGAAAGCTTTTAAGAAAAAAAAATGCAAAACGGTATCATTTCAGGTATTGTTTGTCTTTTTTTTTTTAACAAAGATATTAATCTTATCTAATGAAATGTCTCACTCAGAGAAGAAGCTCGTGAAATAATAGAGCAATATATTTTATTTCAAGTTACGCTAAATTAAAGTTGAAATATCACGCAATTTTCAAGATATAAATGTTACTCGATTCACGTTCAAAATTTCTTGATATTCTGCAATATCTATAATGAATGTTTTTCATTTGCCCTTTAAAACGAGTTCATTTTCATGACGCTTTTAATTTAATTCTGTCACATTTGAAAGAGGATATAAGATAAGCACAAGTCAATTCATAGAAACTCGTGCATCAGATGTACATATACAATTATATGATTTGCAATCGATGCAATGCATTGTTTCCGTTATCGTGGCTGATTGGTAGTATTCATGGATTGACGATCGCACACGTACACGCTAAACTTTCTAAGCACGCAAGTCTGCTTACGCACCGTGCAATTGCAGTCCATCAACTATGCACTTGAATTGCCGATAAATGACATAAAAAATCTTTAAAGTTTGATAGCTTTTTCTTGAATGCTAAATATTCGTTCATTTCTTAAATACATTTCTTAATTACATATATGATCATAAGATAAAAATTATATTATTACTATTAATCACTGTTAAAACATGGAAAGACGTTATATAAAAAATGAAAATAAATTGCAGTTCTTGCTGAATGTTTCTTTGAACTTAAGGAGAGGTTGAAAAAACTTGCGCGAGCAGCTGCACACGTGCATATGACGCAACATATTCATATATATTTCAATTATACACTGCAGCTAATTGAATTGGAATATGCAATAATTACAGCAGAAGCATAATGAATTTTATATGGTGAATCAATAATGAATCGTATTTAAACAATGATAATCGATTAAAAATTATAATATGCTAAACAATTATGAAAAAGTTGTTAATTATTTCGTATTTATGAAAGATCTTAACATACTATATATTATAGAAATTCATATTATCGACAGTGAAAATATAGTTACACTAATTTATCGATATTTCTTTGAAAGATTATTAAATATCTTATCATTCTTGTTGTATGCATTTCCTTAATGCGCAATTAGTTTAAAATCATTCAATATAATTAAAACTATAATAAAAAGAAATAACAAAAAAATAAAATTTGCGATAACTTTGTTTATATATTATGTTCATTGTAATTGATAATTTTTGATGTATTAAAGAATAAAAAACATTTATCGAATGATCTCTATATTAAATCGCAATAATATACTATTCGTTTCTATTGAGGCCACCGCATGCGTGCAAAGCACCTTGAATCAAAGTATGACTGATGCAACGCTTCAATCAACGCCAATAAATGTCACCAACTGGTGCAATGTAATTAGGAAGGGTACAGTGGAGCATGCAAACAAAAATTTACAACAAAATTATACATTTATTTTTAACATATGATTTTGCAAATAAATCCTTTTAAATTAATGTTAATTTTGCACAGATTAAATTAATTTAAGATCTAAAACAATATATATTTTTCTAAATATTTTCTAATTTAAAAGACAACATAAATCATTGTTTACAATGATAAAATATTCATGACAGGATACCACGCGTCTGGCGTTCTCAACCGGAAATTCGAAAGGGATACCAAAAAGTTTCTGGCTCTATTCCAATAGGCGAATAACGTGTCTTCTGTTTGCGAGTTAAAGATCAACGTGGCGACAAAGTCTCAAGTTTCGTTGATTATTCTTACGGTGTACTTCTTGTCCGTCCGCCGATATCATCGGACAGTGCTTATAAATTGTAAATAATCTTCGAAAACACGATCCAGGTCTTTTTTTTATCAACGATCTTTCGTTATCTAGCTGAAAAAAATATCGTGATTAATTTATCGTTATATTTATTATATCTTTTCGAAAATAATTAGAGCCAAATGGTAAAATCGTCTGTAATCATTGAAAAGAAAAAAAATAATTTAAACGATTAAAAAAGAATTTAAGAATTTACTAAAGACAAAACAGAAAAAAAAAAAAGTTTTCTTTGAAGAAATAATAAAAATCTAGATTAAATAATAAAATAAAAAAATAAAAAAAAACGAACGAACAAAATAAGAAATATTAATTCTGAAAGAGGTGAAACAGTATTTACTGCGTTGTGAAAGTCCAACCAGAGTTTATTTTTACCCTAGACAAATGTGTGCATTCTCTTCGACATTTCTCCTGCTCGTTCTTGTTTTCCCGTTCTTCTCCAAGTATATCTTTTTTACTTTGTTTTTCATTTTATTTTTTTTTTAGTAGACATTGATACAGAATCTTCTTTAATTAACAGTTTTGTTGGTATGTTGAATATAGGAATCTTTATTCCGATCGATGATAATTAAATTAGAGACTACAATCAAATGGATGACATTTTAATTCATAAATTGATATGTTACAGGTATAGCATAAACGAAAGAATAATTGTAAATGACGGAGCGATATGAATCGCCGGAAGTGAAGATCGTATTGTCTAAGGAAGAGATTCATAAGAGATATCAAGATATATCCCTAATCATATATAAAGTATATATTTATTTATGATACACAAATTTATTGATAAAAAATATTATATTTAAATTGTAATTAAATACAGAAACAACAATTTTTAATAATCTTCTTTCTAAATTCAGAGATATTTTAATGTACAAATTATGTTTTAACAATATCTTGCATATAATTACGTACATTTCTCGAAGTTTTAATTAATTAATTTTTGTGATTTATTTCAAATCTTTATATTACAGGAACAAAGTAAGAGGGAAGTGAATTATTTAACTTTTGGAACGAGCCGCAGAACGATGGAATACAGTAATTACGGAAATCATCCCGTTATTGTGCGGAGACCAACTGGCTCTTTGACAACTCGCAACGATGAAAACATATCTTCCCAAATACTAAGGATATATCGAAAGCCTCGAGATAGTTGTGCAATAAATTAGTTTATGCTTCAATTATGGTTTTTAATTTTAAATTAAATCGTCGATTGTTTATTTATTTTTGGCATTTTTAATATTTTATTCTCCTTCATCTTGTCTTTTGAAGTATAATATTAATTAATTTTCGTTACCATTAAAATATTCACATTAATTTTATGA